CCCCAACCCCAACCCCAACCCCAACCCCCACACACCAACTGTAACACACCACCCTCTCCTCTCCATTTTACTTGACATTTCACATTAGGTTTAGTTATATTTTCAGGACATTTTTGCCTTATGAATGGTTTGTTTAACTAAATTATAAAAGTGATACAGTAAAAACCTGTGTGTAAGAACCTAGGGATTTAAGAACCTTCAGGCAGAAATTTGCTTGTTTAATACCCCAAAATATAAGAACCTGTTTAGCCAAACAAATTCCAACAGGTTCTTATATGTGGGGTTTAACTATTTAATTTATATATATTTTTACCAAAAACCAAAAGGTGATCGAGAGTTCAGAAAATTGAACTGAATTGTTAAATGAAACTCAAAATGCACAATGTATGTTGAATTTATACAGTACTGTATCATTGATCAATTAATGTTGTTGGACTTTTGGCAACATGGGTACATTAATAAATATTTATAATGAAGAACAGACCAGATTTTATACTATTTTCTGATAATCAACAACAATGTCTACTCTGTAGAAATTAAGAACCTAATTAAGAATCTACTTAGCCTAAACTGTCAATAAGTACCCCATAATACAAGAACCTGTTTTGCCAAACTCTGAAAAAAGTAGGTTCTTACATGCGGGTTTTGACTGTATCATACCAGAATGTTCTCCATATTTGTGTTGTTTTTTCTTAGGTAGAGGAGGGGTGAGAAATGAAAGTCGGGCAGCTAAAGTAGCTTTGATGAAAATAAAGATGAAAGCAACAGGAGATAGCTCTATACCTCAGGTCTGTGCAAGTGGAATTAACTGCTAATTATGTTGGGAATGTCAAACCACAGGTAGATCACATTCTGCAGCCTTAAAAAACTGTTGAGATCATGTCTCATGCATTGAAGAATCAGCTCAATTCTGAACATCACATACTAGACAGCATAGTAAGTCTAAGCTATATCAATATCATACTATATAAGAATACTTGGTTAAAGGCACAACTGCAAGGTCATTATTTAGCTCTGTATGGGAGCTTACTTGACATCAGAAAGCAAAAAAAATTAACAACCCAGTGTCACATAATTTATGTAGTGTTTTGGATAATGAATGAACTTGAAACTTAATTAAACTTTGAATTGTCTGGATTGTCCACAGAGATGTTCTGTGGTGTTAGTATCTTTATAAGGTATAGATATTAGTCCCATCACTGGAACCAAGCCTATCAAAGTTGGCTGATTGTCTAAGCAGGGAAGAGCTTAGGTTCTATGGTTGTGACCTCACTTTGGGAATGTCAAATGTTGGCATGAGAGAGCAAGATGGGGCTCTCTCCTGTTACTGTCCTCCCACAAGGACAGCAATGGAAGCAAAGACATTAAGCAAAAACAATGATCCACATATCCTTTTACATTTTCCGGCCATCCTCTGCAAACTGAGCCAAACACAAAATAAGCAACCTCTTAGTATTTCAAAGAGTGTAAATAACAACACCTAAATTTTTGCCTTCTTTTGAAAGGAAGTGAAACCAATCTGTAAGAACTCAGTCACCTTGGGTGGATGAGGTTCAAGTGACAAGTTCAAGTGACAAGTTCAAAGCTCAATGTCAGGAGGGAAAGTATCAGGATCAAAAATTATTTTGGGACTGATATCCATGCTTTATAGAGATACCAAAACCCTTAAAAACCTGGAGTTGGTGTAGTATAGACACTTTGTAGATACAATGCTATAAACACTTAGAAGGTCTGAGTTGGATGTAAGCTATCTTTTCAAACCTTCAACTTATGGCTGATTGCAGGGGTCAAGCAAGATGGAATTATCTCATTTTAATCATGCAAGAGTTTTGTTTGGTTGATTTGAAACCTGCAAACCTTGATACCCTTGATTGCAGAGCCATGCATCATACCTCAGCTTTGGCTTGGGTTGGAATAACTTCTGGTACAGAAGGAGAAAGAACACACAGCAGTGAAGTGCACATGTCAACTATTATGACTGAGCTTGCAAGAAATGGCATGTGCCATAATTTCGATTTACAGAGTAACTGAAAAAGCTGCAAAAATTCAAAGAGGAATGAGTCACAATTCCTTCAGAAAAATGAAAATCCAGGATCAATCTGTATTCATTAGACTTTTAGAGCAAACACTATTGTGTTGCATATTTTTTATTTGGTGATTTATCATTTCAAAGTTATTCTGACTTGTTTTTTTTTTTCAGAGATTATTAATTTTGGTTTCTCTTTCAGGAGGAAAGAATTTATTTCAGAGTTTTACTGCCTTTTGGCAGTAAAGAACAAGAGCAACCCTTGTTTTTCTCTAAGGTTAGTTCCAATATTATGGTTAGTATTGTAAACAAGTAAGCATTTTCAGAACAAAGTGAAAAAGGATGTAGTGGAGTAGTGAGCCTGTTTATTATTATACCTCAAGACACATCCTACAAATATTGAGTATTTTTCTCATGTTTGTTGTTTCTAATCTGTCTTAATTTTGTTCAACCCAAACTACTATTGTCTAGCTTTTGTTTATCAGCTCATTAATGTTTTGTTGTTGTTGTTGCTGTTAACTTGGAATACTCGTATTTCAAAGTTCCCTTCAGTTCGGATCCCATGTTGCGCATCAGAGAACAGTTCTTCATTTCATGATGGAGGCCCCAATAATGACTACATATGTCTGCCTTTTTTGCATTATATAAAACTAACATCTGAAGATACCATGAAAGGGAGTTTACATGAATAAAAATCATTGGCAAAACAAGTTAAAATACAAAATACAGCTAACTTACACTACATGTATGAGTTGTTCTAAAAGAAAATGATTTATGAAAACCAATAAAAATCGACTGATTGACTCATTGAATTTCAGTATTGGACTGTAGGAAAAGTTATTGATAAAATTGCCGAGGCAGCACGACTGAAAAATGAAAATAACAAGAAGACATCACAGAGGGTAAGTCTGCTGCTAGATATCTCCTTTATTGCATCTTTATTAAAATGGTGGGCTGTTCTACTCAAATAATAGGTGCTTTGTCCTTCTAACAATCTTACATAATAATAATAATAATAGTAATTATAATAATAATAATAATAATAATAATAATAATAATAAAACTGTAACGGTCATCATGCATGAATATTATTATTTTAATATAATAATATTTATGCAGGATGACCGTTGCAGCTATTGAAACTGCTATCAATGTGGTTCCTGCATAACTCTCTGTTGTAGCGGCACACCCTTTTCAGCAAAGGAAACAACTAAGTTGGAGGGAAAAAACAATCTGTCATTTTTTGCAAGGCAAGTTTTGATTTTGCCCTGCTCTCTTGTAGAAGCTGCGGTTATTTCACCGAAATACTGGTGAAATAATGGAATTACAAGATTCTTTGGAACATTTACAAGTACGAGATCATTTACAAGTGTCTAGTGGAAGCACAGTTATAATAGAATACGTGGATAATGAGTGTAATGATGTGCTATCAAATCTAGACAAATACCCCACGTGAGTACAATAAAGTCTAATTGAAACTTGAATTTTGTTTTCGTTCTCTTGTTATGCAATTTGCGCAGAGTCAGACAACTCTTTGTTAAATTCCTCATTGATTTTCGCACTCTTGTATGCAACACAAGTAAATCTTTTCTAGTCTTTATAACATCAGGGTAGAATTTTCTGACTGGAAACTCAAATGGGAAAATAGATATATAATACCTAAAAGTATCTGATGTGGCCGGAGTGGATGTAGACTTGTGCCTGTTCATTTGCTTTGATTCTTATACAATACATTGCCAGCAAAAAAGGATCACATCACAAAGCCATGCCTCAGAGTTGTTTTTCATCTGCACCCGAGAAAATAGAAACAGGCGATCTGGAGCTAGCCAGTATCTCACCAGCACAAAATTACGTATGAAATAAATAATTAAAGTGAATCTTGTTCTACACGGGACTTTTCTGAGGTTAAAATGATTTTAAAACGTGATGTTTCGGGCAGTTTTACTGCTGTTCCTCCAGCTCAATATGGTGGACAAATAATTGAGAAAACCTTTCAAGCAATACCCTGTTAATATCATTCATGCACAATGAATGGGTTTTTGCAAGAGGGACCTCGGGAGTAGACTTTTTAATCGGCATAAACAGAAATCAAATGTTTATTAAATTATGCCATGGTATTAGCCGGAAATAACAGTGAGAGGAGAAAACAAGCGCAGTCAGGGCTAAGAAACTTTCTTTATGGCTATGACGTTACTGCTGGCCATCCAGAAATGCCTACTAGCTTGTTGTTTTTACAGTTGTTGTCCATCGATGCCACAGGGGGGATTTATATTAGTTGTGTTAATAAACAGAGTGAATTTGGAAATGTTGGAAATTTTACAACTTGTGGAGCATTATTTATTCCTGAGATACTCCTTCAGTATCGGCTTCATTACAAGACCACACGGTACCAGTGGCTTTGCATTGAAGGATCTGAGATGCTTCTTCATAACGATAACAATGTTATGCTGCTATGGCCAGCAAGGCCAGGGTGGGGGTGGGGGGCAATAAAGTGTAAAACACATGACAAGCCAGGTCCACATGATGAGGCTTGTTTTAAACATAGAGATTGAGAAACTCCGATTGGCATTTTTCCTTTAACAACGCTATCTTTATTTCCACAGTAAATGTTTATGATTTGCTAGCCTTGTTCTTGATGAACCTGTACGATTGCCTCTAAATATGCCACTAAAATTAATAACAAAAAACTTTGCCACCCCGATATTTCATTGCTAAAGCATGAATGAGTTGGCTCATATAATCCTTTCATTATGTCTTAGAAGGAAGTGAAATCATTTAGTATCCTTTAAACTGATTTACTGGGTTATCCCTTGCACTTTCAAAAGATTTTTCCAAATTCATGAGGTATTTCTATTTAATCTGAACAATTTGTCCAGCCGTTTCTCGTCAGTTAATTCCTCTCTCATGTCATGACTGGTCGAATGAGGACAAAAGGCACTCAAAACAACAGCGGCAGCTGCATCTGAATTTTCTTTGAACCGCTTCAGGATTTTGGAATCACAATACTTTTGGGCTTCACGGTATATGCAGTCACCTTCGTGAAAAAAGACAGCACACAACTCAGCTGGATTGTATCCGGGGTGTTTCCTCAATTCAATTGTGAAGTTTCTGCCACATACCGCATACACAAATGTGGCACAAGGATCTGGTATCATATCATCTGTTGAAAAAACAAACCAAGTGTTTAAATGGTCATAATTATTTCTTTTGATCCCAAAACGTAAAATTATAAAATTTTTGACCTCGCAGAATGCGAAC